CTTAAAAACAAAGAGCAGGCCTGCTGTAAACAGAAACCACAATGGCTTTCGGGAATGAAGCAAAGAATGTGCTTTGTCGTTTCTGCCTAAGTATTCCTGAAATGACACAGCTGGGTGTTTATGAGCCTACAAGAATCACGAAACTGGCTCAGCAGAGGAATGTGCGGGTGAAATGTCTACACAGGACACCAAATGAAAGCCTGGGTGAGTGTCTGTCATGTGGTTCTTGGACTCCTGGGGTTCGGAGCGGATGTTTGTGCTTCTGTAGTGTCAGGGAACATCAAAACAGATGGTCCCAAGCTCCCAGGCTGGAGGTCGGACAGGAAGTGAGCTAACCAGTTTTAGTAGGAAGCTGCGGCGGCTTCTACATCCCTCAAGTCATCGTCTAGTGTTATCATTTCTTACATCTATTGTCAAATGGTCTGGATTGCAGTAGTTTATAACCTAGCAAGTATTGCTCTTTGCATGCACTGTCTTTGTCTTCACAACACTATGACATCTGATTAACACAAATATTTGGCAGCATTTACTGAAAATAAACACATAAGGAGGCCCTATTCTGCTGCTGTTCAGGTGTATATCAGTATGTAGTGTCTCTACTTTAAAGAGTCCTCTCCTGCTGATGTTCAGGTGTATCTCAGTATGTAGTGTCTCTACTTTAAAGAGTCCTCTCCTGCTGATGTTCAGGTGTATCTCAGTATGTAGTGTCTCTACTTTAAAGAGTCCTCTCCTGCTGATGTTCAGGTGTATATCAGTATGTAGTGTCTCTAGTTTAAAGAGTCCTATTCTGCTGCTGTTCAGGTGTATATCAGTATGTAGTGTCTCTACTTTAAAGAGTCCTCTCCTGCTGATGTTCAGGTGTATCTCAGTATGTAGTGTCTCTACTTTAAAGAGTCCTCTCCTGCTGATGTTCAGGTGTATATCAGTATGTAGTGTCTCTAGTTTAAAGAGTCCTATTCTGCTGCTGTTCAGGTGTATATCAGTATGTAGTGTCTCTACTTTAAAGAGTCCTCTCCTGCTGATGTTCAGGTGTATCTCAGTATGTAGTGTCTCTACTTTAAAGAGTCCTCTCCTGCTGATGTTCAGGTGTATATCAGTATGTAGTGTCTCTACTTTAAAGAGTCCTCTCCTGCTGATGTTCAGGTGTATATCAGTATGTAGTGTCTCTACTTTAAAGAGTCCTCTCCTGCTGATGTCCAGGTTCATATCAATATGTAGTGTCTCTACTTTAAAGAGTCCTCTCCTGCTGATGTTCAGGTGTATATCTGTATGTAGAGTCTCTACTTTAAAGAGTCCTCTCCTGCTGATGTTCAGGTGTATATCAGTATGTAGTGTCTCTACTTTAAAGAGTCCTCTCCTGCTGATGTTCAGGTGTATATCAGCATGTAGTGTCTCTACTTTAAAGAGTCCTCTCCTGCTCATGTTCAGGTGTATATCAGTATGTAGTGTCTCTACTTTAAAGAGTCCTCTCCTGCTGATGTTCAGGTGTATATCAGTATGTAGTGTCTCTACTTTAAAGAGTCCTCTCCTGCTGATGTTCAGGTGTATATCAGTATGTAGTGTCTCTACTTTAAAGAGTCCTTTCCTGCTGGTGTTCAGGTGTATATCAGTATGTAGTGTCTCTACTTTAAAGAGTCCTCTCCTGCTGATGTTCAGGTGTATATCAGTATGTAGTGTCTCTACTTTAAAGAATCCTCTCCTGCTGATGATCAGGTGTATATCAGTATGTAGTGTCTCTACTTTAAAGAGTCCTCTCCAGCTGATGTTCAGGTGTATATCAGTATGTAGTGTCTCTACTTTAAAGAGTCCTCTCCTGCTGATGTTCAGGTGTATATCAGTATGTAGCGTCTCTACTTTAAAGAGTCCTTTCCTGCTGGTGTTCAGGTGTATATCAGTATGTAGTGTCTCTACTTTAAAGAGTCCTCTCCTGCTGATGTTCAGGTGTATATCAGTATGTAGTGTCTCTACTTTAAAGAATCCTCTCCTGCTGATGATCAGGTGTATATCAGTATGTAGTGTCTCTACTTTAAAGAGTCCTCTCCAGCTGATGATCAGGTGTATATCAGTATGTAGTGTCTCCACTTTAAAGAGTCCTCTCCTGCTGATGTTCAGGTGTATATCAGTATGTAGTGTCTCTACTTTAAAGAGTCCTCTCCTGCTGATGTTCAGGTGTATATCAGTATGTAGTGTCTCTACTTTAAAGAGTCCTCTCCTGCTGATGTTCAGGTGTATATATGTATGTAGTGTCTCTACTTTAAAGAGTCCTCTCCTGCTGATGTCCAGGTTCATATCAATATGTAGTGTCTCTACTTTAAAGAGTCCTCTCCTGCTGATGTTCAGGTGTATATCAGCATGTAGTGTCTCTACTTTAAAGAGTCCTCTCCTGCTCATGTTCAGGTGTATATCAGTATGTAGTGTCTCTACTTTAAAGAGTCCTCTCCTGCTGATGTTCAGGTGTATATCAGTATGTAGTGTCTCTACTTTAAAGAGTCCTCTCCTGCTGATGTTCAGGTGTATATCAGTATGTAGTGTCTCTACTTTAAAGAGTCCTTTCCTGCTGGTGTTTCAGGTGTATATCAGTATGTAGTGTCTCTACTTTAAAGAGTCCTCTCCTGCTGATGTTCAGGTGTATATCAGTATGTAGTGTCTCTACTTTAAAGAGTCCTCTCCAGCTGATGTTCAGGTGTATATCAGTATGTAGTGTCTCTACTATAAAGAGTCCTCTCCTGCTGATGTTCAGGTGTATATCAGTATGTAGTGTCTCTACTTTAAAGAGTCCTCTCCTGCTGATGTTCAGGTGTATATCAGTATGTAGTGTCTCTACTTTAAAGAGTCCTCTCCTGCTGATGTTCAGGTGTATATCAGTATGTAGTGTCTCTACTTTAAAGAGTCCTCTCCTGCTGGTGTTCAGGTGTATATCAGTATGTAGTGTCTCTACTTTAAAGAGTCCTCTCCTGCTGATGTTCAGGTGTATATCAGTATGTAGTGTCTCTACTTTAAAGAGTCCTCTCCTGCTGGTGTTCAGGTGTATATCAGTATGTAGCATCTCTACTTTAAAGAGTCCTCTCCTGTTGATGTTCAGGTGTATATCAGTATGTAGTGTCTCTACTTTAAAGAGTCCTCTCCTGCTGATGTTCAGGTGTATATCAGTATTTAGTGTCTCTACTTTAAAGAGTCCTCTCCTGATGATGTTCAGGTGTATATCAATATGTAGTGTCTCTACTTTAAAGAGTCCTCTCCTGCTGATGTTCAGGTGTATATCAGTATGTAGTGTCTCTACTTTAAAGAGTCCTCTCCTGCTGATGTTCAGGTGTATATCAGTATGTAGTGTCTCTACTTTAAAGAGTCCTCTCCTGCTGATGTTCAGGTGTATATCAGTATGTAGTGTCTCTACTTTAAAGAGTCCTCTCCTGCTGATGTTCAGGTGTATATCAGTATGTAGCATCTCTACTTTACTTTAAATAACGAGAAGTGAAAAGTGGCAGATGAATATGAGATCAATCCTTCGAGGTAGGTGAGCTTGAATGATTGTGTCTGTGTAAGTAGACCGTATATCCTTAAATGCACCTGTAAAGTGGAGCGACATAACTCAAAGGTGAATCATATAGATCCTATTGACACACAGTATATACTAACGCCCTGCTGTACATGCAACATTCAAAGTCTGCATACACTGGAAATAAATCAAGTTTTAAATCCATGCAGCGCAGATCAAAAATCATGTTTTTGAAAAACAAAAATATCTTATTTTCCAACACTTCCGTTTTAATGAATAAGGGATATCGTCAAATGGGTATTGGAGGGATGATGTTTAAGTTAAATAGAAACAAAATTAAGTGTTTTTCTAAAGCAATAATACAATACAATTATATTTATATCACATGGTTATTTGATCTGCCTGCACAGGTTTAAAAGTCGAACAAGAAAATATATTTTTGCAAAAACGAATAATGTTGTCTGCTGATACAGGCAAATGTAAAACATATGCAAATGCTCAATTAAAATGTTCTTCAAACTAAATCTTCAAAATAATTTGCTGTATAAAAATGACAGGTGTCACACGCCTAAAACCGAAGAGACGCATTGTATATATTGTTTTCTTTCCTATATTCCTCTGTTCTGCACTTTGTGAGGAATGTTGATATTTGTGCAGCAGCCTGCTTCCTGTCGGACAGGTTAGAGACAGGACTGAGTGCGAAGTGCGAACTGTCTGGTGTTCTGTTTCAGAGGGAGCGCTTCGCAGAGCTTCAATGACACACAGAGGGTCAGCTGGGACACAGAGGAGCTGTTTCTGTTGGAGAACAGCAATGTGATGACCTCTAAAAAAAAACAGATGCCGTTTTGGGAATATCCGCGCCTGCGCACAGCGTCCTGTAGATGCACTACTATCAAGTGACCAACATTACGGTGTCATATTTCCGAGTGAGATTTTCAGAATAAAAGCACATCTCGTGTAGGAGTTGCTTAGGGTAACATTTAACAGTAAGTGTGATGTATTTAGTGCATTACTTACTCTATCCATCTATCAAATAATGTGTACGGTTATTTCATGCATAAATATCATAATGTGTTCATTTAAGTATTGCCAGTTCTGCACAAGTTGCACAACCCTCCAAATATTGTGCACATTTGTACACGAGCTACCTCTCATCCACTTTCCATAACAATACTGCACATACTGTATTGTATATGTATACTGCAAGTCATGTTATGCAATATATCTTAATGTATATTATCTTTTTATCAGTTTTATTTTTTTATTTTTCATACTTTTATATCTTCTTTAACTGTGTTTAAGTATGCACCATGTACACCAAGACAAATTCCTCGTATGTGTAAATCTACTTGGCAATAAACCTGTTTCTGATTCTGATACTGCCACTCTCAAATCCATTTAAGGGGTGCGCGCTTTTGTTTTGAAGGTTCACGCTCCCAACTTCCTGTTTCTAATCTGATCTTCCTTTCCGCAACACGAGTGTGGGTGGGTTTCTTTTACTCACCATCTCAATGATGCGGGTTTTCTTGCCTGCTCGCTTCTTCTTGGCCACGATGTACTGGGCCAGAACCACTCCACCGAACAGGGCACAGACACTGGCGCTGGCCGCGGCTCCGACCTTTACCACCGCCGTCCTGTCCATCAAGGGTCCGCTGATACCGACCAGAGTACTCCGTCAACCCTTCCTGCTGCACAGCCAAAGATCCTCTAAACAGAATCAGACCTCTCACTCTGTGTAAATCATCCTACTGGTGCGCAACCACAGCCAAAGATCCTCTATGCAAACCAGACCTCTCACTCTTTGTAAATCATTTTACTGATCCACACACACAGCCAGAGATCCTCTATGCAGAATCAGACCTCTCACTCTTTGTAAATCATCCTACTGGTGCACACCCACAGCCAAAGATCCTCTATGCAGAACCAGACCTCTCACTCTTTGTAAATCATCCTACTGGTGCATACCCACAGCCAAAGATCCTCTATGCAGAACCAGACCTCTCACTCTTTGTAAATCATTTTACTGATCCACACACACAGCCAGAGATCCTCTATGCAGAATCAGACCTCTCACTCTGTGTAAATCATCCTACTGGTGCACAGCCAGATAAGATAAGTTAAAGGTGGGTAAGTTTGAGAAACCGGCTCGAAATACACTTTTTGTTATATTCCATGGAATGCTCTCAACATCCCGATAGCAATGAATATCTTAAGTGCTTTGACAAAAAATCCATTAAAAAATGTCATCTGTGGAAACCAGTGACGTGACGTGACGTTCATGGCTGGTGAGGCACTGACTCTTTCAGAGTCAGATTTACAAATATTATATTTTGACCTTAATCGAAATATTCGGTTATTTTCAAAAGCTTTTTTAGTCTGATGCTTCGATTCATTTTAACAGACCGTTCAACAAAAGGATACCCAAAATCTAAATATTGGATTGTTCTTTCTTAGTAAGATTCCATTTGCATTACAATTGGGGTCTTACCTTGACTTGAAGATGAAGTCCATGCTATCCTTCTGGACAACAATCTCTATTACTTTTTTGTAAAAGTCCTCCTTATCTTCCTCTAGTTTCAAAAGTCTAGTCTGTTGTTCGCGTCTGCCGTCCCTGCGTAGAATAACAGTAGCAACAAGAACCTGTGGGCTCACGTGCGCCCCCTTCAGTGCGGCAGAGGTTATGGCTGCCTCTCCTGGTGCTTTTTTCATTTACATTGTATTCTTTCACACACAGTGACGTCACGAGCTACCCACAATGCAACACGCGCCATATATATATATATATAAATACGCCATTTTCCTGGAGGTGCTAATATGCTGGAAGTGCAAATATAAACAGCTAGCTAACGTTGCCAGGCAGAGCGCACTAGGTTTTTTTTCTGAATTAACGACCGAAGAAATCGCTGCATGTCTTCGGATTACATCTCTGGACTTGAGGGGTGTGCTTTAGGTCGTTACCAGCGTAAACTAGAGCTGTGTGGGTTGTCGGATTGCCCTTACAGACTGCCTGCAGATGTATGAAAAAACGACAGTGGCCTTCGTCGATTTTGGCTGCATCTACGTCTAATTTCTGGAATCACCAGGTGAATACCTCACTTGTCACAATAATATTATCATGCCATTGCATATATGTGGTATTTTAGAGTTGACTAGATATTGATTAAGGCAATAGACTATGATATTCAGTACAGGAAGCTTAGCAACACCTAGACGGTGTACGGCTGCTTGCACCTCGCGTAAAACGGCGGATACCGGAAATACGGTGTCGCGCTCGGCCCAATACCCGTATGTGTGTGTGAAAGAATGATGAGACCAGCGAGCCTAAATATCATATATACGTGAAATAAGTTATTTAGAGACTATGGATGGCGAGGATAAATGTAATAAAGGGATCTACAAACATTACATTGGTGACATACAGTGAGATGGTGCAGGCATGCGCTTAGGGCCCGCTTTCCAGCCAGTTTCTGTGGGGTGACGCATTCTGAGGTGAGGCAGAGCTCATCTGTGCCTCACCTCACCCCACAGTAACTGGCTTGAGCGCGCTCACAAAATAAGTGCCCGCGTTAAATTAGTGCCCGCGCTCCAGCCAGTTACTTTGGGCTTACGAGAGGCAGAGCTCGTCCCTGCCTCACTTCTCATCGCTACCCGTAGTTGTAGCGGAGCTCGGAAAATTTGCTGATTTTGACTATAAAAAGCGATTGGAATCATACATAAATCACATTTACAACACAGATCAGTGGAGACATTTTATTATATTACTATTTAGTTTTTCTTTAGTTGTTTTTCCGTTACATTGGAGTATGACAGGTGAGGCTCTGCCTCCCCTGCCTCCCCTGACTGCAAGTCGCTGGTGGAAACCGTAGTGCTGTAAAAAGCACGACCAATCATCTGAGCCGGCCCGGCTAAAATAACTGGATGGCCTACCTGCCTGTCAGTCTTACATCTGTGCACAAACTTATCTCGTGCCCTCATAGAGTGGCGAAGTCACGCCCATCTACTTCCGGTCCATGGGACCTTATTTCGGAAAAATAATGGATTGAAGTCAATGGAGAGAGAAAACGTATCTTTCGATCCCGTTTGAATTGTGCCACGAATCACACATATGATGTTTGTCAATCTTAAAAAATAATTTCCATATCAAAAAAGTCACAGTTTGTCGTAAAACTGTTGAAATATAAGCGCCATATATATATAATCTATCTATATGGCGCTGGCTAAGATGAGATAACTTTAACAAGATGCCTGTGTGCTTAGTACCAGGTTGTTATCATACCAGCAATGGGTCGAGCTCGTTCTTTCGCTTCCCGTCTGATGAAAGGACCAGGAGTGGCTGGATCAAGTTAGCTACCTAGCTAGTAGCTAGCACGTCAGTTAGCATTACAGCTTTGTAATTTGTATTAACCTTAATATGAAGTAACATTAAGCAACACAAAATGTTAAACAGTAAGAGTAGTAGTAGTCATAGTTCGTGAACCCTTTGAAGAGTAGGCTACTGTCACCGGTGTGATCATTCTATAATACACAATTTAAGCACGGGGGAGAAATGCTAACACTAGCATCGGCAATCGCCGATCTTTTCTACTTCATGCTATCTGCACACTTGGTTGACAATGACATTAAACATTAAAAAGACCAGGCAGTTCAGAGAGAATCAAAGGAAGGCATGCAGTCAGGCAGCTTTGCATGACATTCTTCTGGACGTGTTTCATTGTGGTGATAGTGAGGGTAGTCAATCGTTTTGTTGTGACGGCCATCTTGGTGACGTGTGTTGTTCTGCGAGACCAGAGATGTAGTTCATTGAGCGTTTCAAAGCAAGGCAAGTTTTATTTATATAGCACTTTTCAACACAAGGCAATTCAAAGTGATTTACAAAAAATGAAAGACATTAAGAAAATGGCATTTTTGTTTCACACAAACAAATGTGTTACTTCACAGTTTTACGACACATTTTTTTTGTTTATCTTTTCAATTGACAAACATCATATGTGTAATTCATGGCACAATTCAAACGGGATCGAAAGATAATCTTTCTCTCTCCATTGACTTCAATACATAATTTTTCCGAAATAAGGTCCCATGGAGGTCCACCGGAAGGGGAAGGACTTCGCCTCTCAATTGGTCATGTGCGCGTTCGTGTGTGTTGGAGGAGGGGCTCTGTAAGGAAGTGGCAGATTTTTCCCGGCTGTGTATTTTCAAATTCTAGCGCACTCAAGCTGGTTTTTCCAAAATTACCTACCCCACCTTTAAGTTAAGATAAAATGTACTTTATTAATCCCAATTTGGGAATTATTTTTTCTTGCAGCAGCACAAAACAAAACTAGGCATTGCACATAAAAAACTAATGAAAAGAGTAGACATATACTATTCTAAAATATAGACATCTCACAATAGAAATAGAAATAAACCAGCATTAGAGAGTAACACAAATATAGAGATGACCTTGAAGAGAAAACATCTGTAAAGTGACTGACAAATAAAAGATCCTATATGCAGAACCAGACATTTCTAGAAAAAGATATCCAGTAACACGCCTCAAAACAGAGATTTAGACAACAGTAAACAGGAAAAGATAGGACATTTCTTCCTGTCAAAACAGCAGCTGGGTCACATGATCTGTCCCATGTCAGCTGACTGGATCCGACCAATAGGAACAGGTTAAAAAATGGAGAGACGATATGAAGATGGAAGACACTTCATTTTTATTTTTAATAAATACATCCACCAACACAAATCCTCTTTTCTAATGTTCCAATAATGTGACTACAATTTTAAAACCATTACATTTTGTACATTACATTACATTGCATTTAGCTGACGCTTTTATCCAAAGCGACTTACAATAAGTGCATTCGACCAAGAAGATACAAACCTGAAGAAAACAGAATCATATAAGTACATCAGGTTTCATAGAGCCAAACATTTCAAGTGCTACTCAACTGGCTTTAGATAAGCCAGTTCTTTGTTAGTATATAAGTGCTTTGTTTGTAATTCTAACGCTCGAAGTGGAGTCGAAAGAGATGCGTTTTCAGTCTACGCCGGAAGATGCACAGAGACAGCCCTGGTTAAAGTAAAAAATGACCTTCTCATAGCCTCTGACAAGGGACTTGTCTCTATTCTTGTTTTGCTCGATCTCAGTGCTGCATTTGATACCATCGACCATGATATCTTATTGCAAAGACTAGAGCACTTAGTTGGCATAAAGGGAACTGCTTTAGACTGGTTTAGGTCCTATCTATCTGAACGCTCTCAGTTTGTGTGTGTCAACGATGAATATTCCATGCAAACCAAAGTTAGCCATGGAGTGCCACAGGGCTCAGTGCTTGGACCTATTTTGTTCACACTATATATGCTTCCGTTAGGCAATATTATAAGTAATCATTCTGTACATTTCTACTGTTATGCGGATGATACTCAACTATATTTATCCATCAAGCCTGATGAAATTAATCATCTAAATACAATTCAAGACTGCCTCAAGGACTTAAAAACGTGGATGACCTTAAACTTTTTGATGTTAAACACGACCAAAACTGAAGTTATTGTACTCGGCCCAAAGAATCTACGAAACAAACTATCTAAAGATATACTTCTATGGATGGAGTTAATTTGGCCTCCAGTGAGACTGTAAGGAACCTTGGTATTATATTTGATCAGGATTGATCTTTTAACGCCCACATAAAATCAATCTCAAGGACCGCCTTCTTTCATCTAACATTGCAAAAATCCGGCATATCTTGCCTCAAAACGATACAGAGAAACTAGTCCATGCATTTGTTACTTCAAGGCTGGATTATT